AACCCAAAAAGAAGACGTAAGGGAGTTGCACATCACGCTGGAATGGAGGACAGATTGCTCTTGAGACTGAGAGGGTAGCAAATAACCTTATCCCAATAGAAGGGAATATACGTAGCTCAGGGTTGAACTGTGGAGTCCTTGGTGCTCTCTGAGCTTGGTGGTTTGCTTGCAGACGTTTCATTACCCGACCAAGTAACATTATCAGTGCACTGGGCAGTTTCTGCACTGCCCAGTGCGCAGATGTTGTTATCAGAAACAGCCTCTGGCAGCTTCTGCCCAGTTTCTGCACTGATGATATTACCGAGTCGGGTAATGAAACATCTGCAGCCAAACCACCAAGCTCAGAGCGCGCCAAGGACTCCACAGAATAACCTTATCTCCCACGAAACCCATGTCAATTGCTCGACGCCTTTCTCCTGCTTAACCTTTTTCCTGCCTGCTCAATCCTTCACAACATGCAAAGGTCCTAGCAGACATTTTTCAGTTTCCAACTGGTAATATAGGATACAAAGACTATTTGTTATGATAAATTGTAGTGAAAGTTTTAAATTAATGGCTACCCTAGCGTGGGAGATTTACCCAGTGTCGTATCACGTCATAAACTGCAATGGTGAGTGGAAACAAACCTCAAGTTTTATCTCGCAGTGGCAGATACCACTTTTGAATTCTGAAACCCGTCTTAATCTTCAAAGCACTCCCTGCAGGAAAATTCATTTCTTGACTCAACTTTTACATGCCTGAGGTAGCCTCCTGTAGTTTTCTCTCAGAGGCTTTATATTCAGCTTTATATTCACCCTAATACCTTCTGTCTCTTTTTAGAGAGCATCCATTTTTGTACATACAGTCTTGGGCTCAAAAAAAAAAAAAAACCTGAATGAGAACTATATTATTGTGGCAAAAATAGTGTTTTATTTAAGCAGTAACTGTAGAGAGTGTGCTGTGCTTGGAGAGATCCGTTCATGTAGTGAAGCGTAAAATATGAAACAAGAATGAAAAGCATAGTTGGTATAATGCAGAATGATTTGTTTCTTCATTTTTACGAATGTTCTCCTTACAGTCTGGCGGGCCACGAGTCTAGATAAGCAAGATGCCAACAGAGTCTGTTACACTGGAATAAGTGGGTCACCATCCTCTCAAGATAATCAATAAGAACTTTAATTGATTATCCCTGAGAGGATGGTGACCTCCCTCTGTTCTATCCTAGTGTAACAGACTCTGCTGGCCCCTCGCATCTCTAACACTTACGGCCTGTCAGACTACAAGAACAAAGGAAGCTGGCTGATACGGGGTCCTGCTGTACAGGTGTCTAGTTTAATATTGTTGACTCTGACTGGCAGCATCTCTCTGGGGTCTTGGATAAAGAAGGGACATTTCATTAGCTGTTCCCCATTCCTTTCCCTCCCTTCCTACCCAAATATTGTAGGAAGCTGACAACTGAACTTTGTGCAAAGCAGGTGCTATGCACGATGGTCTCATTTCCATGTCAGTTAAATGGAGCAGGACTGCAGATTGCTCATTTGATTGTCTCATTAAATTTTAAATTAGATTATCCCTTATCTAATTAAAAAGACCCATTTGAAGACAACGGGTCAACATCACTGCATTATCCAGCAGGATAGACAAATTAGCTGAGTAGTTAACTTTAAGCCACGTATAGAAACATTCACCACATTTGGCCCTGAACATTTGATACACATCAGCTGTGAGACCTGGGGCCGTTACAGGCCAACTTAGAACTTATTAATTTGAACAGGCTTGATTGGGATAAGCAGGTGAGTTTTTGAATCCCCAAGGCATATCTTTAGTGCTCAGGTGATCTGTTAACCTTGCTGTGTCTTCTTTTGCTTTTCCTCTCTGTTTTTGCTGCTGTTCCAACAACATCTGCATTACCTGGTCCATTGAAAAATAGTGAAGTTTTGAATCAGGGGAAGAGAATAGAGATGAGTACCGGGAATGTGCTACTCACATGCTATGGGATGTTTGAACAGTTGCTGGGAAAGGATGGATGGATGGATGGATGGATGGATGGATGGATGGATGGATGGATGGATGGATGGATGGATGGATGG